CGTTCTAAATACTTATTTATTATGAAAATTTAGGAAAATAAATTATTAACAAATACGAACATTTTTGTTTAAAAAAATATAAATTAAAGTTTTTTGTTTAATACATAAATAGTAAAATTATTGGGTGCCAATTGGCCAATCTTTGGATCAATTAGAATATTTCAAACTCTTGAAAAATCAATGGATGATATATTTTTCTCATACATTGAATTATTGATTGACTGAAATATATATTTAATGATCATTTGATACATATACTTAGTTACTTGAAGAGTGTCATAAACTCAACAAAACAAAGCTATTGTTATAGATAGTTTAGAGAACGTATTTTACATAAACCAATAATTATCATATTTGCTTGTTAAGTAGCAATCCAATATTTTAATTAATTAATAATTTAAATAACAATACAAACCTAACATAACATAAAAAAATACAAAAAAAAATAACCGTATACCTATTTAGTAAAATCCATAATACGAACTTAACTAACTAACTAACTAACTAACTAACTAACTACGAACTACTAACTAACTAACTACTAACTAACTAACTACAACTAACTAACTAACTAAACTAACTACTAACTAACTAACTAACTACTACTACTAACTAACTAACTAACTAACTATAACTAACTAACTAACTAACTAACTAACTAACTAACTAACTAACTAACTAAACCTAACTACTAACTAACTACTAACTAACTAACTACTAACTAACTAACTAACTAACTACTAACTAACTAACTAACTAACTACTAACTAACTAACTAACTACTAACTAACTAACTAACTAACTAACTAACTAACTAACTAACTAACTAACTAACTAACTAACTACTAACTAACTAACTAACTAACTAACTACTAACTAACTAACTAACTAACTAACTAACTAACTAACTAACTAACTAACTAACTAACTAACTACTAACTAACCTAACTAACTAACTAACTAACTAACTAACTAACTAACTAACTAACTAACTAACTAACTAACTAACTAACTAACTAACTAACTACTAACTAACTAACTAACTAACTAACTAACTAACTAACTAACTAACTAACTAACTAACTAACTACTAACTAACTAACTAACTAACTAACTAACTAACTACTACTAACTAACTAACTAACTAACTAACTAACTAACTAACTAACTACTAACTAACTAACTAACTAACTAACTACTAACTAACTAACAACTAACTACTAACTAACTAACTAACTAACTAACTAACTAACTAACTAACTAACTAACTAACTAACTAACTAACTAACTAACTAACTAACTACTAACTAACTAACTACTAACTAACTAACTAACTACTAACTAACTAACTACTAACTAACTAACTACTAACTAACTAACTAACTAACTAACTAACTAACTAACTAACTAACTAACTACTAACTAACTACTATCTAACTAACTAACTAACTAACTACTACTAACTACTAACTAACTAACTAACTAACTAACTAACTAACACACTAACTTACTAACTAACTGAACTGAACTGAATAATGTTCATTATCAACAGCAGGTCAATGAACTTAATAAATATGTTATACATTTTTTATTTCATATTATAATGCATATATTTAAAAAGAAAAAGAAGTTTGTATTGTTATTAGTAGTGTTTAGAGTTATCAAACAAATTGTTTACAATTTTAAATCTGTTTATAAAATTAATAAAATTGTGCTTTCAAAAACACAACATTTGTTGTGATTTAAAGCGCTAAACAGATTTAGAAAATTTTAATATTTCTGTATTAAAAGTCTTTTTCATAAAAATTTATTAATCGTTTATACAAATTTTTTATGAAAATTTATTTTATAAACCTTTGATAAATGTTTATGAATAACGCCCTGAGTAATGTAAGTTATTACTAGACTTCTTAACAGTAATACAGACGAAGTATGAACTTGTCATTGCTGGGAGAATAAACATTTTATGAGTTGTTTAAACAAATGCTGTAGCAACTTCTTTCACAATCAATTAAAAAATGGAACTGCTAAACTCTTAAAAGTCAAAATCAGTGATGGCGATCATTGACATGACCTTAAAGTATTTACTTAGTATGAAGATAGATTTTCTTGCAAAATTTGTCAAAGAAGATTATATTCTATACTTAACAAAATACGAAACCTTAACTTTATGTGCAGATCACAACAACTTATGTATTCTTTCCATTGTGATCCATACAAAAGAGTTCTTGTATCAATTAACTGAAACTGAAAAGCGAAAATATTTATAAACTAAATAAAAGTATCTGACCTTAAAATAAATCGATTTTATTATTGCAAAATTGTCAATATTAAATTAATAATTTTTATATTAACTATAAAAGCTGAAGATTTTTATGCCGAAGATATCAAACACTTGAAGTAATTCGAATAAAAAACATTAAAATACTTTAATCTAATACTACGAATCAAAAAAAAAAAAAATCTTTAACAAAATGTTCAAATTTGTAAGTTTAATAGTTTTGAAATTACTTAAAATTTTTTTTAAATCGTATTTTTTTTTTTGAAAGGTTGTCTTGGTCTTCGCTGCTCTCTTCGCCATTGCTGCTGCGCGCCCTGGCTACTTGGCATCTTCACCAGTGGTTTTGTCCGGACACTCTCACTATGCACAGCATGCCCATTACTCAGCTCCAGTGGTCAAAACTGTTGTAGCCCCTGTTGTTCACGCAGCTCCTGTAGTCCATACCCAAGTTGTCAAGAGCGTTGTCCACTCTGCTCCTTTAGTACACTCTACTCCTTTAGTGCACTCCGCTCCTTTGGTACACTCTGCTCCTTTGGTACACTCTGCTCCTTTGGTACACTCTGCTCCTTCGCTGCACTCCGCTACCTTGGTTCACTCTGCTCCTTTGGTGCACTCCGCTCCATTGGTTCACTCTGCTCCCTTGGTCCATTCTCATTCCTTGTACCACTCTTACGGCGCTGCTCCAGTCAAGACCTACGCCCCTGCTTATGCTCCATTCAAAAACTAATTTACTTTACGAATACAAATTTTAAAATGAACTGATTGTTAAATTAATATATAATTTAGTAAATATATATGTTATTTGTTAATAAAAATTTATAACGAAAACTCTTTTCTGTTTCCTTTTTTGCAAATTAGGTCTTTTTTAAATATTAATCGTTAGTAAAAATGTCATTGTCTTGTAGTTCTATAGTTCTAAGTGTTACAAACATCATCAGAGACGTATGTCATCATTATATGGTGTAGGGTATAATGGTGAAATTATAATTCTTCTCAAATTCCAAATATCCTGAAATGTTAATGTTTCAATCGATCCGAACATGGCTTTTCAATTTTGGTTTATCCTAATGTATGTCCTAATATTTGAAAAAAGCGCTTCTGGCCATATTTGAAAAGTTCTAACTGCGCGATGATATCCTTATTCATAAAGTTTATAGTCTAGTCTATAGTCTAGACTATAGTCTAGTCTATAGTCTAGACTATAGTCTAGTCTATAGTCTAGTCTATAGTCTGGTCTATAGTCTAGTCTATAGTCTAGTCTATAGTCTAGTCTATAGTCTAGTCTATAGTCTAGTCTATAGTCTAGTCTATAGTCTAGTCTGTAGTCTAGTTTATAGTCTAGTCTATAGTCTAGTCTGTAGTCTAGTCTGTAGTCTAGTCTGTAGTCTAGTCTGTAGTCTAGACTATAGTCTAGTCTATAGTCTAGTCTGTAGTCTAGTTTATAGTCTAGTCTATAGTCTAGTCTATAGTCTAGACTATAGTCTAGTGTATAGTCTAGTCTATAGTCTAGACTATAGTCTAGTCTATAGTCTAGACTATAGTCTAGTCTATAGTCTAGTCTATAGTCTAGTCTATAGTCTAGTCTATAGTCTAGTCTATAGTCTAGTCTATAGTCTAGTCTATAGTCTAGTCTATAGTCTAGTCTATAGTCTAGTCTATAGTCTAGTCTATAGTCTAGTCTATAGTCTAGTCTATAGTCTAGTCTATAGTCTAGTCTATAGTCTAGTCTATAGTCTAGTCTATAGTCTAGTCTATAGTCTAGTCTATAGTCTCTATCTATAGTCTAGTCTAGTCTAGTCTATAGTCTAGTCTATAGTCTAGTCTATAGTCTAGTCTATAGTCTAGTCTATAGTCTAGTCTATAGTCTAGTCTATAGTCTAGTCTATAGTCTAGTCTATAGTCTAGTCTATAGTCTAGTCTATAGTCTAGTCTATAGTCTAGTCTATAGTCTAGTCTATAGTCTAGTCTATAGTCTAGTCTATAGTCTAGTCTATAGTCTAGTCTATAGTCTAGTCTATAGTCTAGTCTATAGTCTAGTCTATAGTCTAGTCTATAGTCTAGTCTATAGTCTAGTCTATAGTCTAGTCTATAGTCTAGTCTATAGTCTAGTCTATAGTCTAGTCTATAGTCTAGTCTATAGTCTAGTCTATAGTCTAGTCTATAGTCTAGTCTATAGTCTAGTCTATAGTCTAGTCTATAGTCTAGTCTATAGTCTAGTCTATAGTCTAGTCTATAGTCTAGTCTATAGTCTAGTCTATAGTCTAGTCGTCTATAGTCTATAGTCTATAGTCTATAGTCTAGTCTATAGTCTATAGTCTATAGTCTATAGTCTATAGTCTAGTCTAGTCTAGTCTAGTCTAGTCTATAGTCTAGTCTAGTCTATAGTCTAGTCTAGTCTATAGTCTAGTCTAGTCTATAGTCTAGTCTAGTCTATAGTCTAGTCTAGTCTATAGTTTAGTCTAGTCTAGTCTAGTCTAGTCTAGTCTAGTCTAGTCTAGTCTAGTCTAGTCTAGTCTAGTCTAGTCTAGTCTAGTCTAGTCTAGTCTATAGTCTAGTCTAGTCTAGTCTAGTCTAGTCTAGTCTAGTCTAGTCTAGTCTAGTCTATAGTCTAGTCTATAGTCTAGTATATAGTCTAGTCTAGTCTATAGTCTAGTCTATAGTCTAGTCTATAGTCTAGTCTATAGTCTAGTCTATAGTCTAGTCTATAGTCTAGTCTATAGTCTAGTCTATAGTCTAGTCTATAGTCTAGTCTAGTCTATAGTCTAGTCTATAGTCTAGTCTATAGTCTAGTCTATAGTCTAGTCTATAGTCTAGTCTAGTCTATAGTCTAGTCTAGTCTAAAGTCTAGTCTACTACGAAACATTTTACTAAAAATTAGCATTTAAAAAAAGTCATAATTTTCAAAAAAGGAAACAGAAAAGAATTTTCGTTATAAATTTTTATTAACAAATAACATATATATTTACTAAATTATATATTAATTTAACAATCAGTTCATTTTAAAATTTGTATTCGTAAAGTAAATTAGTTTTTGAATGGAGCATAAGCAGGGGCGTAGGTCTTGACTGGAACAGCGCCGTAAGAGTGGTACAAGGAATGAGAATGGACCAAGGGAGCAGAGTGAACCAATGGAGCGGAGTGCACCAATGGAGCAGAGTGAACCAAGGGAGCAGAGTGTACCAAAGGAGCAGATTGTACCAAAGGAGCAGAGTGTACCAAAGGAGCAGAGTGTACCAAAGGAGCAGAGTGTACCAAAGGAGCGGAGTGCACTAAAGGAGTAGAGTGTACCAAAGGAGCAGAGTGGACAACGCTCTTGACAACATGGGTGTGGACTACAGGAGCAGCGTGAACAACAGGGGCTACAACAGTTTTGACCACTGGAGCTGAGTAATGGGCATGTTGTGCATAGTGAGAGTGTCCGGACAAAATCACTGGTGAAGATGCCAAGTAGCCAGGGCGTGCAGCAGCAATGGCGAAGAGAGCAGCGAAGACCAAGACAACCTTTCAAAAAAAAAAAATACGATTTAAAAAAATTTTAAGTAATTTCAAAACTATTAAACTTACAAATTTGAGCATTTTGTTAAAGATTTTTTTTTGATTCGTAGTATTAGATTAAAGTATTTTAATGCTTTTTATTCGAATTACTTCAAGTGTTTGATGTCTGCAGTATAAACATCTTCAGCTTTTATAGTTAATATAAAAGTTAATAATTTAATATTGAAAATTTTGCAACAATAAAATCGATGTATTTTAAGGTCAGATACTTTTATTTAGTTTATAAATATTTTCGCTTTTCAGTTTCAGTCAATTGATACAAGAACTCTTTTGTATGGATCACAATGGAAAGAATACAAAAGTTGTTGTGATCTGCACATAAAGTAAAGGTTTCGTATTTTGTTAAGTATAGAATACATATAATCTTCTTTGACAAATTTTGCAAGAAAAGCTATCCTCATACTAAGTAAATACTTTAAGGTCATGTCAAAGATCGCCATCCATCATTTTGACTTTTAAGAGTTTAGCAGTTCCATTTCTAATTGATTGTGAAAAAATTTGCTACAGCAAATTTTAATTATCTTCAAAATTGCGACTTTTGTTTACAAGGATTACATGGATGGACAGACAGACAGACAGACAGACAGACGGACGGACATGGCTTAATCGACTCAAACCTTTAATTCTATGCTTTACAAACATCAGCACAAATACAATATACTCTCCCCAATGAAGTGGTGTAGGGTATAAAAATAACATTCTTAAGCCTTGATTGGCTGGTACTATCAAACTATGAAAAGTTAAAATGATCCACAGCGATCGCTTTACATGACCTTAAATTGTTTACTTAGTATGAAAATACCTTTTTAAATATACTACATATGTTACTTTGCAAAGTTTAAACAAATTAGGTTCTATACGTAAGAAAAGCGAAAGATATCATTATTTTATTGCTACTCTACAACTTTTGTATTCTTTTCATTGTGATCCATACAAAAGAGTTCTTGTATAAATTGACTAAAACAGAAGAACAAACAATTTTTATAAAATAAGCAAAAGTATTTGATCTTTAAGGTCATTGATTATCAATCGATTTTATTGTAGCAAAATATTCAATATTAGATTTATAATTTTTTAAATTAACTATAAAAACTAAAGATGTTTATGTTGAAGATATCAAACACTTGAAGCAATTCAAATAAAAAACATTAATATATTTTAATCTAAAACCACAAATTTATAAAAATCTTTTAACAAAATGTTCAAATTTGTAAGTTGAGATTTAAAAACTTTAAAATTACTTGAACAATTTTTAAAAATAATTATTTTCTTCTTTATTAGGTTGCTTTGGTCTTTGCTGCTCTCTTCGCCATTGCTGCTGCCCGCCCTGGTTACTCACCTGTAGTCTTGTCCGGACACTCTCACTATGCACAACATGCTGTAATTGCCCATTACTCAGCTCCAGTGGTTAAAACTGTTGTTCATGCTGCTCCTGTAGTTCACACCCAAGTTGTCAAGAGCGTTGTTCATACTGCTCCCTTAGTACACTCTGCTCCTTTGGTGCACTCTGCTCCCTTGGTGCATTCTGCTCCTGTGGTACACTCTGCTCCCTTGGTGCACTCTGCTCCTTTAGTGCACTCCGCTCCTTTGGTACACTCTGCTCCCTTGGTACACTCCGCTCCTTTGGTACAGTCTGCTCATTTGGTTCACTCTGCTCCCTTGGTGCACTCTCATTCCTTGTATCACTCCTACGGTGCTGTTCCAGTCAAGAGCTACGCTCCTGCTTATGCTCCATTCAAAAACTAATTTAATTTTTTCCACAGTATTTAAACACATATTAACTGATTGTTAACCTAAGAAATAATTTAGTAAATATATACATATGTACATATACATATGTATTTGTTATTTGTTAATAAAAATTTATAAAGAAAATTAAAATTTTTATTGAATTTAATTTTGCGAAATTTACAATTTTTAGATAAATACTAATAAGAGTCCAAAATTGGTAAAAATCCGAATTTGTATGAAAAATTTCAACTTCGATAAAAAAATATATTTTTCAAACATTCAACAAAGTTTGGAGGATTTCGGAGAAAGTATACGTTAGTCTAAAATTTTATAATTTCAAAGAAGTTTGTGCTTCCTTTCACAAATTAAAATCCACTTTCAATGTGATCTTATTATATTTATACTCTATTGGTTTATATATTGGTTTCTAAATTAATATCAAATGATCACAAATGAACAATTTAAATTAAATTGATAGCTTTTTAGACTGATAACAGAGGATGACAAAATTACAGACTCTCCTGACCAAGGGCAGTTTGTAGGTCTACAGAATATCAAAAAAAAAATTTAATATTTCCCGAAAATCGGGAATACGATATTTTCCAAAGAAATCGAATCAGCATGAGCAAAATCGTTGTTATTTGCAGCTCAATAAAATAACTTAGTAGCGGTGTTAAGAGAAGGATTGTCATTCTCTCATATGGAAATGGTTACTATCAGAACACAGAGAGTACCTTTTTTAGGTAAAATTTTACAAAAACTTTCAACTGACGTGTAATGTGCTTTTCTACTAGATTGTGAACTTTAGTCTAGTCTATAGTCTAGTGTATAGTCTAGTCTATAGTCTAGTCTATAGTCTAGTCTATAGTCTAGTCTATAGTCTAGTCTATAGTCTAGTCTATAGTCTAGTCTATAGTCTAGTCTATAGTCTAGTCTATAGTCTAGTCTATAGTCTAGTCTATAGTCTAGTCTATAGTCTAGTCTATAGTCTAGTCTATAGTCTAGTCTATAGTCTAGTCTATAGTCTAGTCTATAGTCTAGTCTATAGTCTAGTCTATAGTCTAGTCTATAGACTAGTCTATAGTCTAGTCTATAGTCTAGTCTATAGTCTAGTCTATAGTCTAGTCTATAGTCTAGTCTATAGTCTAGTCCATAGTCTAGTCTATAGTCTAGTCTATGGTCCTAGTCTATAGTCTAGTCTATAGTCTAGTCCATAGTGTAGTCTATAGTCTAGTCTATGGTCTAGTCTATAGTCTAGTCTATAGTCTAGTCTATAGTCTAGTCTATAGTCTAGTCTATAGTCTAGTCTATAGTCGTCTATCTCTAGTCTATAGTCTAGTCCATAGTCTAGTCTATAGTCTAGTCTATATCTAGTCTATAGTCTAGTCTATAGTCTAGTCTATAGTCTAGTCTATAGTCTAGTCTATAGTCTAGTCTATAGTCTAGTCTATAGTCTAGTCTATAGTCTAGTCTATAGTCTAGTCTATAGTCTAGTCTATCTAGTCTATAGTCTAGTCTATAGTCTAGTCTATAGTCTAGTCTATAGTCTAGTCTATAGTCTAGTCTATAGTCTAGTCTATAGTCTAGTCTATAGTCTAGTCTATAGTCTAGTCTATAGTCTAGTCTATAGTCTAGTCTATAGTCTAGTCTATAGTCTAGTCTATAGTCTAGTCTATAGTCTAGTCTATAGTCTAGTCTATAGTCTAGTCTAGTAGTCTAGTCTATAGTCTAGTCATAGTCTAGTCTATAGTCTAGTCTATAGTCTAGTCGATAGTCTAGTCTATAGTCCTAGTCTATAGTCTAGTCTATAGTCTAGTCTCTAGTCTAGTCTATAGTCTAGGTCTATAAGTCTAGTTCTATCGTCTAGTACATAGTGTAGTCTATAGTCTAGTCTATGGTCTAGTCTATAGTCTAGTCTATAGTCTAGTCTATAGTCTAGTCTATAGTCTAGTCTATAGTCTAGTCTATAGTCTAGTCTTAGTCTAGTCTAAGTCTAGTCTATAGTCTAGTCTATAGTCTAGTATAGTCTAGTCTATGTCTAGTCTATGTCTAGTCTATAGTCTAGTCTATAGTCTAGTCTATAGTCTAGTCTATAGTCTAGTCTATAGTCTAGTCTATAGTCTGTCTAGTCTAGTCTATAGTCTAGTCTATAGTCTAGTCTATAGTCTAGTCTATAGTCTAGTCTATAGTTAGTCTATAGTCTAGTCTATAGTCTAGTCTATAGTCTAGTCTATAGTCTAGTCTATAGTCTAGTCTATAGTCTAGTCTATAGTCTAGTCTATAGTCTAGTCTATAGTCTAGTCTATAGTCTAGTCTATAGTCTAGTCTATAGTCTAGTCTATAGTCTAGTCTATAGTCTAGTCTATAGTCTAGTCTATAGTCTAGTCTATAGTCTAGTCTATAGTCTAGTCTATAGTCTAGTCTATAGTCTAGTCTATAGTCTAGTCTATAGTCTAGTCTATAGTCTAGTCTATAGTCTAGTCTATAGTCTAGTCTATAGTCTAGTCTATAGTCTAGTCTATAGCCTAGTCTATAGTCTAGTCTATTCTAGTCTATAGTCTAGTCTATAGTCTAGTCTATAGTCTAGTCTATAGTCTAGTCTATAGTCTAGTCTATAGTCTAGTCTATAGTCTAGTCTATAGTCTAGTCTATAGTCTAGTCTATAGTCTAGTCTATAGTCTAGTCTATAGTCTAGTCTATAGTCTAGTCTATAGTCTAGTCTATAGTCTAGTCTATAGTCTAGTCTATAGTCTAGTCTATAGTCTAGTCTATAGTCTAGTCTATAGTCTAGTCTATAGTCTAGTCTATAGTCTAGTCTATAGTCTAGTCTATAGTCTAGTCTATAGTCTAGTCTATAGTCTAGTCTATAGTCTAGTCTATAGTCTAGTCTATAGTCTAGTCTATAGTCTAGTCTATAGTCTAGTCTATAGTCTAGTCTATAGTCTAGTCTATAGTCTAGTCTATAGTCTAGTCTATAGTCTAGTCTATAGTCTAGTCTATAGTCTAGTCTATAGTCTAGTCTATAGTCTAGTCTATAGTCTAGTCTATAGTCTAGTCTAGTCTAGTCTAGACTAGTCTATAGTCTAGTCTATAGTCTAGTCTATAGTCTAGTCTATAGTCTAGTCTATAGTCTAGTCTATAGTCTAGTCCATAGTCTAGTCTATAGTCTAGTCTATGGTCTAGTCTATGGTCTAGTCTATAGTCTAGTCTATAGTCTAGTCTATAGTCTAGTCTATAGTCTAGTCTATAGTCTAGTCTATAGTGTAGTCTATAGTCTAGTCTATAGTCTAGTCTATAGTCTAGTCTATAGTCTAGTCTATAGTCTAGTCCATAGTCTAGTCTATAGTCTAGTCTATAGTCTAGTCTATAGTCTAGTCTATAGTCTAGTCTATAGTCTAGTCTATAGTCTAGTCTATAGTCTAGTCTATAGTCTAGTCTATAGTCTAGTCTATAGTCTAGTCTATAGTCGTCTATAGTCTAGTCTATAGTCTAGTCTATAGTCTAGTCTATAGTCTAGTCTATAGTCTAGTCTATAGTCTAGTCTATAGTCTAGTCTATAGTCTAGTCTATAGTCTAGTCTATAGTCTAGTCTATAGTCTAGTCTATAGTCTAGTCTATAGTCTAGTCTATAGTCTAGTCTATAGTCTAGTCTATAGTCTAGTCTATAGTCTAGTCTATAGTCTAGTCTATAGTCTAGTCTATAGTCTAGTCTATAGTCTAGTCTATAGTCTAGTCTATAGTCTAGTCTCTAGTCTAGTCTATAGTCTAGTCTATAGTCTAGTCTATAGTCTAGTCTATAGTCTAGTCTATAGTCTAGTCTATAGTCTAGTCTATAGTCTAGTCCATAGTCTAGTCTATAGTCTAGTCTATAGTCTAGTCTATAGTCTAGTCTATAGTCTAGTCTATAGTCTAGTCTATAGTCTAGTCTATTCTGTCTATAGTCTAGTCTATAGTCTAGTCTATAGTCTAGTCTATAGTCTAGTCTATAGTCTAGTCTATAGTCTAGTCTATAGTCTAGTCTATAGTCTAGTCTATAGTCTAGTCTATAGTCTAGTCTATAGTCTAGTCATAGTCTAGTCTATAGTCTAGTCTATAGTCTAGTCTATAGTCTAGTCTATAGTCTAGTCTATAGTCTAGTCTATAGTCTAGTCTATAGTCTAGTCTATAGTCTAGTCTATAGTCTAGTCTATATCTAGTCTATAGTCTAGTCTATAGTCATAGTCTATGTCTAGTCTATAGTCTAGTCTATAGTCTAGTCTATAGTCTAGTCTATAGTCTAGTCTATAGTCCTAGTCTAGTCTAGTCTAGTCTATAGTCTAGTCTATAGTCTAGTCTATAGTCTAGTCTATAGTCTAGTCTATAGTCTAGTCTATAGTCTAGTCTATAGTCTAGTCCTATAGTCTAGTCTATAGTCTAGTCTATAGTCTAGTCTATAGTCTAGTCTATAGTCTAGTCTATAGTCTAGTCTATAGTCTAGTCTATAGTCTAGTCTATAGTCTAGTCTATAGTCTAGTCTATAGTCTAGTCTATAGTCTAGTCTATAGTCTAGTCTATAGTCTAGTCTATAGTCTAGTCCTATAGTCTAGTCTATAGTCTAGTCTATAGTCTAGTCTATAGTCTAGTCTATAGTCTAGTCTATAGTCTAGTCTATAGTCTAGTCTATAGTCTAGTCCTATAGTCTAGTCTATAGTCTAGTCTATAGTCTAGTCTATAGTCTAGTCTATAGTCTAGTCTATAGTCTAGTCTATAGTCTAGTCTATAGTCTAGTCTATAGTCTAGTCTATAGTCTAGTCTATAGTCTAGTCTATAGTCTAGTCTATAGTCTAGTCTATAGTCTAGTCTATAGTCTAGTCTATAGTCTAGTCTATAGTCTAGTCTATAGTCTATAGTCTAGTCTATGTTCTTCGTCTATAGTCTAGCTATCTAGTCAGTCTAGTCTATAGTCTAGTCTATAGTCTAGTCTATAGTTTAGTCTATAGTCTAGTCCGAGATGTTGAAGTTCACAAGGTATCATGCTCCTTGAGGGGTGTAAGGATTAACATAGTGGAATCAAACTCACTAGTTCCTTACTGATAAACCAGAACACTACCCACTACCCTACTAGAGGCATTATAGTACCTAAGTGAAATAATATTGATACAATAAAAATATAGATATCTTTTTCTAAAATATCTACTATTGTGTAAATTGAATAAATAAAAAATTTTTTTATACAATGTTCTGTATTGGCATATCTTTTGTGCATAAAAACAAAACAACTTATTTGTAATGGACTTGTTTAAGTACTGACTTATTATTTACTTGCCCCAATGAATTAAAAATTCCCCATGAATAGTAGTGAAGAGTACTTACTTACATACTTTTCAATGTAAGTTTTTGCTGGATAAGACAAATAAAATATAGAACAATTGTTAGAGTTTTCAATATAAAGACCAGCTTCTTTACATCCTTATTACAAAATAAAATTCAATAAGAAAATTTATATTTTCTAGAATGTGAAACAGAACAAAATAAAGCCTTGATGGCTGGTATTAATAAAAATCTGCAAAATTAAAATGATCAACAATGATCTCTCGATACGACCTTAAATATTTTATATAATTTGAAGATGTTGTCCAAGAAGTTTAAGTTCTATATGCCTAAACAAAAACAAAATAAAACTTTATTTTATTAGCAGATCACAGCTTTTGTATACTTTTTATTGTTTGATCTAAACAATAGGGTTTCAAAGAGTTCTTGACTGAAATGTGAAAATGTTTATCAAAGACATAAAACAATAATAATTGACCTTAATGGAATCGAATTTTATTGTTGCAAAATTGTCAATTTTAGATTAGTAATTTTAATACTAACTATAAAAGCCGAAGATGTTTATGTAGAAGATATCAAACACTTGAAACAATTCAACTAAAAAACATTAATTTTTTTCAATCTAAAATCACAAATTTTTAAAAAATCTTTAACAAAATGTTCAAATTTGTAAGTTGTGTTTTAAACATTTTCTAATTAGTTGAACAATTTGGAAAATAACTAATTTCTTCTTTGTTAGGTTGCTTTGGTCTTTGCTGCTCTCTTCGCCATTGCTGCTGCCCATCCTGGCTACTCACCTGTAGTCTTGTCCGGACACTCTCACTATGTACAACCTACCCACTATTCGGCTCCAGTGGTTAAAACTCTTGTAGCTCCTGTAGTTCACAGTGCTCCAGTTGTTCATACCCCAGTTGTCAAGAGTGTAGTCCACTCTACACACTTGGTACACTCTGCTCCTTTGGTGCACTCTGCTCCTTTGGTGCACTCTGCTCCTGTGGTTCACTCTGCTCCTTTGGTGCACTCTGCTCCTTTGGTGCACTCTGCTCCTTTAGTGCACTCTGCTCCTTTGGTGCACTCTGCTCCTGTGGTTCACTCTGCTCCTTTGGTGCACTCTTCTCCCTTGGTCCATTCTCATTCCTTGTACCACTCCTATGGCGCTGTTCCAGTCAAGACCTACGCTTCTGCTTATGCTCCATTCAAAAACTAAATTAGTTTTTTCAGATTAATTTTGTAGTTTTGAAAAATGAACTGATTGTTATTTTTAGAAATAAGTTAGTAAATAAATGCGTTAATTTTTTATTAAAAATTTATAAAGTTGTTGTTTTATTTTAGAAAAATTGCTGAATTTAAAATAAAAATAAAATCAAATTTTTTGTGAAAAGACGAATTTGTGGTAAAAAAAAGTATTTATAGTGAAAAATTGTATTTTTGGTGAAAAAATTGTATTTTTTGGTCAAAAAATCGTATTTTTGGTGAAAAATCGTATTTTGGGTGAAAATCGTATTTTTAGTAAAAAATTTTCTTATTTAGTGAAAATTTTAATTTTTGTGAAAAATTTAATTTTTTAGTGAAATATCCAATTTTTTAGTGAAAAATTCGATTTTTATTAAAAAATTTTATTTATAGTGAAAATCGTATTTTTAATGAATTTTCGTGAAAAATCCTATATTTAGTGAAACATCGTATTTTTTAGTGAAACATCGTATTTTTAAGTGAAAATCTTAGTTTTGGTGAAAAATCGTATTTTTAGTGAAAAAATCGTATTTTAAGTGAAAAATCATATTTTTAGTGAAATATGGTATTTAGAGTGAAAATCGGGTTTTTAGTGAAAAGTCAAATTTTTAGGTGAAAAGTTTTATTTTTTAGTGAAATATCGTATTTATAGTGAAAATCGTGTTTTTAGTGAAAATTTTAAGTCAAAAAATATTATTTTAGTGAAATTTTAACTTTTAATACTGCTACAAACAAAACTCACCACCACTTTCAATACTGCTACAAACAAAACTCACCACCAACTGGCAAAAGACGTCATCTTAGTGGTGAGTTTATGTTTATGCAATTTATTAATTTATTAGTTTTTATTATTTTGTATTTGTTTCTTTCAATTCGTAAACAATTTTACCCGTTTTAAATGCATTGTTTCAACAATTGTATTGTTTGTTTTAATATTATTAAATATTATTCTAAAACTATTTATAACTTTTGTTTATTTTCAAAATTTGAAAAGTAAAATTCTTAGAGCTAAAATACCAGTTATTAAAAATTCAATTTTTATGAAATACAAAAAAATAATCTCTATCTATAATGCAGTTTATCTCATATAAAAGCGGGAGTTATCTCCGTTTATTTATCAAACACTTGGAGAAATTCAAAAACAAAACATTTAAGTTTTTTTTTTAACAAATTAAAAATAAAATAAATAACAAAATGTTCAAATTGGTAAGAAAATTAAAAAAAATCAATTACAAATTTGTAGAACTAAAACGATTAATACCTTTCTCTCTTAGTTCGTCTTATTGTTCGCAGCTATCTTCGGTTTTGCTGCTGCCAGTCCCGTCTTAGTGGCTTCTTCGCCTGTTGTCTATGCCTCCTCGTATCCTGTGGTCAGAACTGCTGTTGCTGTCCCTGTAGTTAGAACTTATGCCGCTCCTTTGGTTCACTCTTATGCTCCCATTTACAGCGCTTATGTTCCCTTCAAAAAATGAAAGAATTATCCTTTAATGATTTATAATAATTAATTAATAAAAATTATGACATTTTAAAATTTCAATTAAAAAATATGTTTTATTTTCCTCAAAATTTAATTTAAATCATGATTTTAATATTTCAAGAGAGTTTGGATAAAAGTTAAAAATGTAATTCAAATCCGATTCAATGATTGGACGTTTTTAACCAAGTTTCATTTATATTACCGTGCAACATTTTTGCCCTTGAGTACATCGATATACACGTGAAACTGGGTACCATTACAGCCTATCACTTAGTTTCTAGTCAATATTGCCCGAAACTTTCTTTGATGTTATGTACATATGTATGTCTATATGAATGGCCTATTTCGGGTTATATGTTACCTAGAGTGATTATTTTTAAAAGAAGGTCACACTAACTTGAACACTCTATAATCCAAAGTCTAAATGTGTCCAGGTTATTCTATCTAGTGAAAGATTTTGAATATACCACTTTTAGCTTAGCTGGACTGGTTTATCTCCAAACATCGAAAACAGTGCAAAACTAAAATCATAAACATGTTTGCCAATGAAATGTACACATATTTCTCTAGATTAATTAAAACATCATAAAGGCAGCTTCTGCTTTCTAAATCCGCCGAGAGACTTAAAATCGGTTGATAGTCAACTAAGTTATTAACTTATAAGTTCTTAAAAATACGAAAAACCGGTTTTTTACCCGTTTATACTTTATACTTTATACATTATACTTTATACTTTATACTTTATACTTTATACTTTATACTTTATACTTTATACTTTATACTTTATACTTTATACCTTATACTTTATACTTTATACTTTATACTTTATACTTTATACTTATACTTTATACTTTATACTTTATACTTTATACTTTATACTTTATACTTTATACTTTATACTTTATACTTTATACTTTATACTTATACTTTATACTTTATACTTTATACTTTATACTTTATACTTTATACTTTATACTTTATACTTTATACTTTATACTTTATACTTTATACTTTATACTTTATACTTTATACTTTATACTTTATACTTTATACTTTATACTTTATACTTTATACTTTATACTTTATACTTTATACTTTATACATTATACTTTATACTTTATACCTTATACTTTATACTTTATACTTTATACTTTATACTTTATACTTTATACTTTATACTTTATACTTTATAGATTCCGAAGACGAACACGTCGGCGAAATCAACCTCGAAGGTAAGGGAATCTCAAAAGAAGCCCCGAAAAACGAGGAAGGAGAAGCTAGACGGAGGAAAAGGAAAAGAGCCGCCATCTTACGCCACAGTTGCCAGAAGTAGGCACCGGGACGATCTCTGCTATGCAGTTTACGATGCCGGTAATCCGACAGGCAAAATTCCAATAGACCAACAGAGTAAAATAGAAGACCTGGTCAACAATAAGATAGTGGACCATGCAATCGCTTCGAAGGGCAAACAACCAATAGAGAGCGAGAGCTGCGAGTTCAGCATGGGCGTGATGTTGATGAGGTTGGCATCTCACCAATGTGTTAGCACCCTAAAGAACTTGGTGGAAAGTATCCCTCCTCCCTGGGACGGCGCTAGGCTGGGACTGGCAAAGAAGAGCGAGCTTCCGGTGCTCCTAAAGTCCACTGTCTACATAAAAGGATGGGGCAGTAAACTGGCTAATGAACGTATACTGGAAATTCTTGGAGGTCAAAATGCTGAGCTGGCCGTGGAAAAATGGGATGTCTTTTACAGGAAAGAAGAACCTGAGGGAACTTTATTTGTAATAGGTATCGACCAGAAATCCATGGCTAGTCTTGCCAAGAATAAAGGTAGAGCTTACTTCGCCTCTAAATCTGTCATATTCAAAATTGGGAAGGTGCCGATTGGAAGGGCTGTTACAACAAGCCTCGAAAAGGATACTAAAAAACCTAAGACCACAGCATCAGTATCCACTACTGATAACGTTGAGGAGTCAAATCCTAAAATCGAGGAATTTACCATTAACTCGCCAGAAGAAAGTGTAGTTGCCCTTTCCAAAATTGGGAAGGCGCCGATTGAAAGGGCTGTCAAAACCGGCCCCGACAAGGACACTAAAACACCTAAGACAGTACCCAAAGCATCATTAGCAAGTACTAGCAATGTTGAGGAGTCAAATCCTAAAAGCGAGGAGGAAATCACTCACCCGCCAGAAGACAGAACAGCAATGCTCTCCAGAATTGGGAATGTGTCTATTAAAAATATTGCTATTCCTATGCCTGATAAGGACACCGCAGTGCCATCAACAGTACTCACTGCATTAATAGCCACTTCAGGCTATCCGGAGGAGTCAAATCCAAAGAGCGAGGAGGTGACCACCAACTCGCTGGAAGACAGTTTAATGGATGACCATGATTGAGGTTATCCAAATAAACCTCCATCGGAGCGAGACAGCTACCAACGCTCTGATGGCTAAAATCAACACAGGTAAAATACATATAGCTTTAATCCAGGAACCTTGGACGATTCGCAACAAGGTTTCTGGATTAAATCACGTAAATTTCCAACTTTTCTACGCTGATACAGGATCTCGCCCGAGAACATGTATCTTATGTCACAAGAACTTATGTTTTCTCCTCTCAACAGGATTATCAACATCGGATGCAACGGTGCTGAAGCAAGGTCGTGGCAACATATTCCTTGCATCTATTTACCTGCCTTTCGATTCTCCGACACTACCACCAACGTCGGATCTGATGAAACTGGTTGAAGAGGCACAAAGGAAAAATAAGAAAATTGTAATAGGTTGTGATGCCAACTCGCATCATGTAGCTTGGGGTAGTACAAACACCAATCGCAGGGGACAAGCCCTCATGGATTTCTTTAATACTAAAGACTTGATAACATTGAACTTAGGTAATAAAGCTACCTTCGTCAATAGAATCAGAGAAGAAGTATTAGATATAACTATATGTTCAGAAGAGCTTATAAACGAAATTCAGGATTGGAGAGTTTCGGACGAGCACTCCTTTTCTGATCATCGGTACATAAGATTCAAAATACTAAGGCCACCACCAAAGCCGATAAAGTTTCGGAATAAGTCTAAAACTAATTGGACAATGTTCGGGACCTTACTAAAGAACCGTTTAGGTCAGGACACTTTTCAATGTCGAAATAAAGAGGATATAGATGCCAAAGTGGAAACGTTCACAAGTGCCCTGGTTGAATCGTTCGAGGACAGCTGCCCTCTGCGAGAGCGGAGATCTACCCAGGAAAAACCCTGGGTAACTGGGGAGATCCGGAACCTTGGGAAGACTCTTCGCAAACTATTTAACCGGGCACGGCGTAAAAAGACCGCAGTATACTGGGATGAGTATCGTAATAAACTTGGTGAATATAAGAAAATCGTTCGAAAAGCCAAACGAGACTCCTGGAAACTTTTCTGTGAACAGGTAGATAGCGTAAATGACGTATCGAAGATAAAAAAATTCCTATCCAAAACTCATGTCCAACCGGAATCTATGATCGATGACACGGGCAGGAGGCTTGAGGATATGGAGGAGACAATGAAACTCCTAATGGATTCTCATTTCCCACCCGGTATATCGAATAACATAGATGAA